GGGTTTTAATGAAATATCAGGGGTCTAAAGAGACCCCTAATATTTCCCTTTTAAAATGGAAAAGAAATTGAGGACCCCTTTTCGGCCGTTATGGCACTTTTAGGAAATGGCCAAATAAACGATATTGCTCTCTCGGTTTTTATTTTTTGTTGATCTTGAGATCTGTTCTGCTTTACAGGGAAAGCATTGGTGGATATCCTGTTGATCTCTCCAGATGTTCCTAAGTTGAAGGAGTGTTTGCTTGCATTGGGGGCAATGAAACACCTGAGAGAATGGCATGCTGCCAAGATAACTATTGTGTCAAGAGAAAATAAAGGGTAAGGCTGGAAATAGGAGTGTGAATCTGAGCGTGTTGTAGGAAGGGATCAGCTGTGTGTGTGTGTCTTTTTGCTTTGTGTTTTCTTCCCACTTTCAGGAGACCTTGCTCCCGTATTTGAGTTGAAAGTAGCATTAAACAACTTTTATCATTAGTGAATCCAGATCAAAGAAATATACATTGCTCAGCAAAAGTATTTCTTTATCTTTTTGCCCAAACACTTACAGTCATCATGTTTTAGAATAGCTGCCTCCAATTGTCTCGGCTCTGCTCCCCTGAACTTCCTGTTGATGGCAAGATCTCAAGACACAGAACAGTCTCTGGCAGCTGTCCATCTTCTAGCTGGGAGGAGGGAAGAGTCTTGTCTTGCTGTGCTTGCGTAGATGGACACAGCTTATTAGCACACACAAGGGTGGCTCCAAAGGACCTTGCAGCGGAATGTAGCCCCCTAAAACAGGATATCGGGGGGGCAGTGCTCAATGGACCAGCTGATTCTGCAACCTCCGTTGTCAGTGATTTAATCAGCATTTTTGTAATGGCTTAAAAACATTTTAACTTTAATATCACTTCAAAGCGATATATCCAAACCTCTATCTAAACCTAATTAAAAAAGAAAGTTACACACTTTAAACTCTGGGTAAAATTTCGATTAACCCTTGCAGTGGGGCTACACCCCTTTTCCTCACTGCAAGGAGCCAGCTTGCTTTTAGACCGGCCCCTTGAAGGCTCTCTCCCCCTCAGCTGCAGCCGTCTAAGGTCCCCTAGTCATCACGCTCTATACAGTGAGATATACTATCGCTGGAGCGTAGGAGCAGACAGGCAGGAGGGAATGCTTTTGCAGCTGGCCTGCTCCAAGTATCGGGTGAACATAATTTAATTTATTCCCCTAGGCAAACACGAGCACTTAACCCTTGCAGTGTGCGGGTAGCCCTACTGCAAGGGTTTATAACATTTTACCCGGAGTTGTTCTTTAATCACCAAGGAATTTCATTTTCAAAGGTTAATTTATGAGAAGCACTTTGGTAAAAGCATCAATTACCTTAAAAGTGTATGCATTGTACTTGCAGGTGGCACAAGATATTGAATTACCTCTCGGCTTCTATAGTTGTCCCTGAATGTCTTAAGAATTCAGTTGACCCCCAAGAGTTGTGGAGAGGCTCTACTGAAATATATGAGCGTAAGGTAATCTTTGTTTCTTGTTTTTTGCATTAAATACAGTCTAACTTTTGAAATTCAAATGCCATCACTTTTCTTAACCACACCAGGAACCCCAAAATCCAAGGCCTTAACCCCAAGCACACCTTCTACAGCTTGTAGGCACCTGTGGGATATGTTTGATAAATGCTTGTGTACACTGTCAGCGCCTCATCCTTAACTAGTCTTATTTATTTATTACAGATATTTATATAGCGCCGACAATTTGTGCAGCGATTTTACACAGCGTACATTCACATCAGTCCCTGCCCTCAAGGAGCCTACACTCTAAAGGCTTGTTCACACCAATTGCGGTGCGTTCTAGAGCGGTAGCTGCTGGAACACACCTCAATCGCTCACAAAACTTCCCTCTGCGGCGGGAGGGGGCATGGCGGTGCATTGAAGTCAATGGCACTGCAGCCACGCCTCCCCCCTAAAAGAAAACATTGCCTACGTTCCATTCCACTGCAAATACAAAAACTGCTGCATGCTCTATTTTTTGTATTTGCAGTGGAACAGAACGCAGGCAATGTTTTGCCACGCATCCAAGCGCACTGCGGGTGGGGGGTTGTGTCTCTGATGCCATTGACTTAAATGCACCACCATGCCCCCTCCCGCTGCATTACGCAGGGGAAGGTTTTGTGGGTGATTGCGGTGCGTTCCAGCAGCTACCACTTTGGAACGTACCGCAATTTATGTGAACAAGCCGTAAAGTCCCTATAGCACACACAGGGCCAATTTACCTTCCAGCAGGTTTTTGGAGTGTCTTAATGATTTGTCCTGACTTTATGTATTTTTTTTTTTTTTTT